TAAATAACACTTGTTAGTTACACTTAATCGTCAGTTTTAGGACTTCGTGATATGATGAAGGGGACTAACGCTGAACCCCACATCCCCTACTGCGCTTCACAAACTCACTATTCGCCACAATTTTACCTTTAGTAAATAGAACGATTGCTTCATTCACTTCTACTGATGAACACAAAGAAAACTATAAAAAAAGCTTTCTCTACTCTCCTCCTCCCTTCAAGCCCATCTCCTCACCTCCGATGTGGCATGTAGAGGAGAGAGTAGATAGCACCGCTGACACAAAGAGGTATCATGAAGTACATTAGGCGCCGCATGAAATATGCATCCAATTTATCGGTCTCCTCTTCCTCTCTGCTACGTTGGCCGATAGACACACCACCGCGGAGACTGAACGACACTTTGGTCATGCGACAAAGCTTCCAGAACTCAATAATCGCTGAGATTCCCGAGGGAATCACCACCAGTAAGCTGCTCTTCTCCTCGTATAAGTAAAGGAATATTATGCTCGTACTAAAGCACCGCCAGACGACTGTAGAGATGTTAAAGAAGCATTCACATATTATCAAAAATTAGCTTTGCGTCAAAAAAACGAAACAATAGCCTTGTGAGCTAAGTGAACTAATAAGAACAGCTAGTAACGTTACAGAAGATGCCCCAAACCTGTGCCGGCAATTGAAAAATCACAAGCTTAAGAAGCAACATGGTTCTGGATGATGTCAATGACCGGAATTTCTCCTTTCAGAGAGAGGCAATATGCAAATTTTTAGCCACAAAGCAGTTCCAAATGCATGATGAAATACGATTGAAAGTGGAGTGATAGAAGTATAAGGGCAAATAAGAAGGTGCGGAGCAACATACTTGTACGAATAGATATGCCAGTCGTGTTTTCAGCATTTCTCCAAAACTGGACATCATTTTTGAATGCGAGGAAGTCGAAAAATAGCTACAATAACACTTACATGTTAAAAAATAGGAAAAAATAATTTACCAAGCGATACCCATAATCAACTTACATGAAACGCTGATACAACTACCGTAGTCAATAGAAGATATAGATTTGTCTCAGTAAAAATACCTTGCAAGTCTTCAAGGTCCTTATCTTTGATGCCTAAAATAACATTCGAAGACAATCAAATCAATTACCAACCACAAACCCATGACTTTCAGTTGTTCAACTGCCTGTGCAAGCATACACCTGAGTCGAAACCTGCCAATTGAGAGAGGAATAACTTCGATCGTAAAATTGAGCCTTTCTGTTGGAACTCCAGGTAACTCCATCCAGTAATATGTTGGCTGCAACTGTGGATCTATGAAGAAGAGAGGAAGGTAGACAAGTTCCGATTTTCTCTGGACCACGTGGAAATGCGGCATCAGTTCGCGTGGAACAGCATTTATTGGGAACGAAACAGCGTCCTTCAAAACATATACCTCTAGATGGGATAACCAATGAGTTGTAAGCCTAGTTGTTTGCGAGACGCTGCTGTTATTCTAGGAAATAGGAAAATTTCCATCAACGGAAAATCACATATAACTAGTGCAGAAGAACAATGTCAGAATGATTAAGAAATAACATTATCCATCAGCACCTACTTGAGACGACAGCAGATTGTAGGATTTTGGAGAAGGCTCTCGGTAGGCAGCAACC